CTTTTCATAACTGAAATAGTGAAGGAGCCAGGGGCTCCATGGACTCCATGAGAGGCCTTATTACTGCCACTCGGTTTTCCATGGAAAGCACTCAGCCACTTCAGTATGTGTCCTAAAGCAGTCAGCTTAAGAACTCTTTGGATGGAAATTGTAGAAAAGCTTAACTAGAATAAATACTTGTAGCCTCTTGTGAATTTGCTGTGGTATTCCTGACTTACCACACGGAGCTGTGTACTAAATAAAATCAGTAATTTAGTGGCTGGTCCTAACTTCTGCTGCAAGAAGCTGCTCTGTTGTTTTGTCACAGCTATGGCCCTGTTTTCTCTCCTAATTTGTTGTGCTTGCTCAGTGAAATTGAATCCCACGTCATTTCAGGCAAGTCTTGGAGAAGCTGTTTTCCTCGGTGCAGATGGCTCTTTCCTCCAGATGTGTCAGGCAGCTAAGAGCTGCCTCATTTTTTTCTTAACCCTTCTGCCCATCTTGAAATCAGGCTGGCGCTACGGCCGCAGTACTGCCGTGGTTCTTGCCCCCAGTCTGATTTTTCCGTGACTGTAAGCTGTTGTGTGTGGCGGTCACATCACGTGCTTCACAGGCTCCTGTTACCTAATGTAGGTTTCTCTGGTTTCTTTGGTTTGTTGTGTTGACTGTTTGTTTTAACACGGACGAAGTGAAATTCAAGTCCGTGGTGGCTCCCGTTTGATGTCCCCGCTGGAAGTTCTTGCGGCGACTTGGCTCTGGAGAGGGTGCAGCCCTTCGTGTTTGCGGCTGCAAATGTTCCAGCCTTGCATCTTCAGCCCAAAGCAGCCAAGGAGAACCTGTACCCTTACCGTTTCCCTTCACCCTGTTTGTTTCACTTGGGAACACAATGAGCTGTCAAAATTTCCTGCCCTGTTTCCACAGAATCCTTCCTTTTGCTCCAAAAAGGATTATTTATCTAAAACTGCTAATTGCATAAATTGTCAGAACAATTGTTTAGCTTGATTTTAAGGTGGAGGGCAAAGAGTTGTAAAGGCCTGGTAGCCTGATGAAAGCCGCCCTCAAAATCCTCTGTCAAAGCGAAAAGGAGGGTCTGCTGTGTTGCTATTAACGGCCCTTTCCTCTCAGAAATTAGAAATCATGTGGTATGGTGTACATCTGGTGCAATCCCTATTTTTAGTATCTCTGTTGAGTATACTTAGAGCTAATTAAAAGTAATAGGGAGGAATATAAGTGTTTTCCAAATAAGTGAGCCAAGAAAAAATGGAGGAAGGCAGGTGTGGCTGATTTAGCCCACCACCACTTCCTAACTAATCGTTCTTTAATGATGGAGGAAGAGACTAGGTGGCACCTGGTAAAGTATTTTGAAATAGCAGATTCATGAGGTAGAGCTACTTGATAACATCTTTGACTCATCAGAAACTTGCCTTCCCTGAGGGTAAAGTTAATAATCCTCGAATATAAGGATTTTAGTGGCTTTTACTAAGTCAGCGGAGATGCAGATCTATTCTGCATATAGATTCCGATAGTGCTAGAGACAGCACAAATTATTAGTATCCGTAAAAAATGTAAAATGACACAAATAGCCAGTTGGAATCATCCGTAATTTGCCATGACTTCAGGGCCTCAGCTTTGCTGGTAAAGTGAAACTCATTCACATTTTCTTAGTTTGAAGAACATAGAGCTGGTAGCAAGTTTATAGGTCATCTTGCATAGTCCTTAACTGTCTCCAGTCATCCGTCTGTGTGTATAAAGCCCATGACATCATTTGCTTCAATTGTTTTCATCTCCTCTTTCAGAATGATGTTCTTCTGATCACCTAAATGGTTCTTTTCCCACTCTGCTGCTTATCAACGGTGGGCGTTACTCCAGGGGGATTTTCCTTTTTATGAAACGGCTTTTTAGTGTCCTGATCATCTTCCTAGAGGTCCTTCTCTCCAGTTCTTCCAGGAGGAATTCAGCCTTCTCAGAGACAGTATTTCAGATGAACTCCTACCAAGTGCTTTGACTAATGGCATAAATTCCTCCCTTGCAAGGTAGTACCTTGCCTCAATAGCGTACATACGTGTCTGAGTTGGCTAGTCTTTAGTTCTGTAGGAGACATCAGCAGCACCAAGAGAGGAAGCTGGACTACCAGTAAAATGAAAGTGGAAGCTGCATGTAGCTGGGCCATGGAGCAGCTGGGGCAGAGAAGGTGACAGTAGCAGTGAACTTTATTTAGAATAGCTGTAGCTGTGGATATCTGGTATCTCCCAGCTTTGTGTTACCAAGTCTCACTAGTGCTCTCCTCATTCTGCATCAAGATCATCAATAAAACAATTTTAAGACCATTCCCAATCTGAATCTTCTAAAGATCATGCAGTAATTGTTCCCCAAAAAAAGTTTCCTTTCAGTGCACCTTGTTACCGTCTTACTTTTAGTCTTTTCCAACTTCAGTTTTCATACTTATCTCTTCCCTTCTCTTTCACGTTTAACAAAGTCCATGAAATGCACCACAGTATTGATTTTCTCCTCTTGTCTACCAGTTTGCTATTTTATTTGAGGTAATTAAGTATCGAGTTTTATCTTGTATAATCTACTTTTTGTATGCTCACATTGTGTTTTCTTGTGTGTTCCAGTTTTCTACCTACCTTTAGTGTTTTCTTCCTTTTCTTCAGAATTTGGGGTCACACTATTAAGGTCAGAGTTAGGTAATTTTTTTGATACGTAACTGTGTACGATTTTGTTGTTCTCTAGTACTATGGTACCTCTCTTGGTCTGATAGATATATTAATTCATGTCCAGAAAGAAAATCAGTCTTTCTGGGTTTATAGTATCATATGTCTTAGGTGTTTGGAGTTTGAATTTCTCTCTTTTTTTTTTTTTTTTTTCCCAAAGTATCTGTTGATTTAGTCAGGAGTGACATGTTTATCAGTGTGTTAATGCAGGGGATTATTTGCAGTTTCCTGTTAATTCATTGGCGCATACAGAAAAACAAAACCCTCAATCAAGGCATGCTCTGAATTTACACCCGTTCTCGATTTGCTGACGCTCGTATTAGTGACGAGCTGAAGCCTGTCTGATTTTGGGGGGGTTTACATAACGTGTAACCATATGCGTGCCGTTCTTACCCTTGCTGCACGAGTCAGCCAGCCTGATGGCTCTGCCTGTGGCGGGGAGCAGTGCTTTGAAGTCAGGGTGCTGCGTTAGGAGCTCTGACTCCCGGGTGCCGGTGAATCCTGCTTCGGTGTTTCACAAACTCCCCGCTATTTGCTGCACCCTTCTGCCCTTCCACAGCAGGATGGGCTTACACACCTCCGTTGCTACCACTGGCACGTGGTTTTAAACTGCCGATGAAGGTAGAGCCACGCTAGTACCATACCTTTGAAGAGCAGGCAGAGGTGCCTGCCCCTCGGGAGGGGTGAGTGGGGTCAGCAGCAGCTTGGGTTGTTCGGGGCTGGCTCCTTAGAGCCGGCAGCTGGCAAGCGGGAGCTGAGTACAGGGAGCACGTGTTCTGTCTCTGGAAACAAAAAAGCAAAGCGAAAGTAAGGATGAGAGAAAACAGATTTAGATTTATAATCAAAACTGACTGTCTTTGAAATATTCTTAATTTGAGCGCATGCTCCTGCGTCTTTCGTACCTCTAAGGACCCCTAGAGGGCACGGAAGTTTTTCTCTACCTCAAATATTTAACTTAATAGTTCTACTTGGCTTTCTTCCCTTAAACATAATTGTATGCACATTTTAAGTGAACATTAGATAGACAGAAAAAAATGACAGCATCTAAGTAGGTCCTTCTTTTATGCTGCAAGATGTTTTCTTGTTTTTAAACACGAGCAGTAGAAGCTAGCACTAGCAGCCAAATTCTTGACTTGTTTTTGTTTAGGGTAGTCAGATGCTATATTCGTATCCCAGAGGAAGCACAGTTCAAACTAGCTAATAATTCGTAATTTTATTGGCAAACTTTGAGAGGCCTACAGTGTGGGCTGTCTGCGAGAGTGCAGTGGGCATGCTTTCGGTGCCCTGTGTGGCCTGTGTTTCTGTAGAGGAGGAGCTGGCATTGTTGGTGTTGTGAAGAACTAGAGTACTCTAACCTGAACCCCTAAAATCTCCAAACTTCATCTTATTTAAGAATTATTAATATTTTGGTCGTGTTATTTGCCTGTAAAGAAACAATTACATTATAGTCCAAGATATTTAAGGTTATGGAAATGTAAAAATGACATGTGCTTCCCACTACTTTCTATCTACTTGGGGAGAGGTTTTGTAACTCTCAGTCAACCTGAGTAGCATTTTTCTCCTTAAATGAGTTTTGCCTATTTTGTCAATATTACATGGTAAGGCAGGTACTAATCAACATGAATTACAGAGTGATACTAATCCTTAGTATTGTGTTGTCACGTTATGATATTTAAATATACATCCTAAACCTCTGGAATAATGCTTATCTGAGAACATCAGGTTTCACTTACATAAAGCAGCTTTGGTATTTTGAGGAGAAGGCTGACATTTTCCAGAGTGCTCAAAGAGCAGAAAACAAAGCAAAACAACAACAAAGGAGCCAAACAAACAAATAAGCAAAAAAAACCTTTTTTAAAAAATTGTATTTTCTTTGGGGATTTTTTTCATCAACTCATCATTTTGAGACCAGTCCCACAGCTTTGGAGGTCAGTTGGACTGTGAGCCTAGTCCCAGGTTGAGACATTTGTGGGTGATGTTGTGACAGTCAGAATCCAACTGGTCTTGTCTAGGGTAAAAAATGGACCGCTTGACTACTCCTGAAGCAGTGAGAGTTTACTTACTGGGCAAGAAGCTGTTCAATAGGATAAACATGAGGAGGTTTTGTGCCTTTGTTCTGATGAGAGGATCAGCTGTACTGCTTTACCCAATTACCCAGGGTTGTCATGGGAGATGATTTTTTGGACCTTAGTTTTCCCACTGGAAGAGTGTAACGTCGTCACTTTGAACAGAAAATAGATCTAGATCTAAACAGCAGAGAAAGGCAGCTGCCCCATCTAACATCTCCGGGGATTTTGTGTTTTGCAGGAGATGCACGGGTGAGAGGTCAGACAGGAGTTCTCTCCGAGCGCCGTGGCTCCTACCCGTTCATAGACTTCCGTCTTCTTAACAGTAAGTGCAACCCTTCCTTCAGGTCTGTATTTAAAAAACAAATAAATAAATAAATAAAAAATCTGTACTGAAAGGCTAGGAACTAAAGTATCTAATTTCATACGTAGCTATAGTTCAGCTGTCTTCATACAGTCAGCATTAGTAATTCTGTAATTCCCACCCAGTGTTTGACTGTGAAATGTTTTGATTGTATGAATACTGTCCATAATGCTGAGTCTGTTAAGTAAATACAGTAGTGCCATGGGGTGTGCTGGCAGGGAGGGCAGGGGGTGCTTCAGAATTAAAAAGATAAACTTCTGTGTCCTTTAGCCTTTTAGCCAACAGTTGGAACAGATTTATGTGAGTCTGTTATCCGGTCATATAGAATTGGCACAGATGGGGAGCATGTGACAGCACTGACCAGTGGTTTACAATAACATTAATTTTTCCAACAATTAGAACCCAATCCAAAGCCCCATGGAGTCTTCTTATTGACGTCAATGGATTTTGGGTCAGGCCAGCAGTGAACATCTGTTAAAAATAATCTTAACCTCATTTTGATTGAAGTTATTTTGCCACTGTTGTAAATAAAGGAGGGCAAATCTAAAAGAAAAAAAAAAATCAAGATCCTGGTGTTTTTTTCACCTGATGGATTCTCCATACTGGTACAGACCCATTAGCCAGTGTGTAAAAAATAAAACAAAAAACCAGAGAACTCTTAATCTTGGGCCCTGTAGCATTGAGCCTGGACCCTGTGTTAACTCCACCGTTCAGACGCAGGCAGATCTCGATGCATCCTCGTGTAGTGCACAGACCACTCCGTGTAACCTTTGAAACAAAAGTTATTCGCGGTCTTCACCAAAACTGACTGAAACTCCCGACACTTTGTTTAGTGACGACCCTTTTAAGCTTCTAGCGATTATGCTTTTCATTTAAAAGCAATTATCAAACCAAAGTTTTACATCTCCTTTTTGTAACTGCTTTCCTGAGTGCCTGGGGAAGGGGAAGGGGAAAGGGAAAGGAAGTTGCTGGCAGGGAGGGGGGAGGAAGCCCAGCCGCAAAGGGTGAGGACTGGTTGGGAGTCAGGAGAAAAGAGGGGCTGATAGGAAGGGGAGGACCGGGGCTCTCATCGGCTGCATTCACCCACGTTGGCAAAGTTACTGCTGCCTGCCAAAGCGCTGGCTTTCAGTCTTGCTGATAAAAGGTATTTTCTAGGTCGTAAGTCCATCGGGGTGTTTGCAATGGCTGAGATGGAAAGGCATAAGGGGTAAGATGGATCTAGCAGTTTTCCCAGGACAAAGGGAGTAACGTACTGGTTGAGCAGAGCTCTGAGGATAATTTAGTCCTGGCTTGCCAATGAAAGATGTGAAGAAAAGCCTGCTTTAGGCTAGCTGGAAATATTACTGTTGATGCTCTTATAAAGAGTGAGAGACAATAAAACACTTCTTTTCATTCATGAAGTGAATGTATATTCACAATTGAGTGTGACTAAATCAATTATTTCCTTTTAATTTTGAATGCATACACATTATTTAAAATTCTCACCATATGTTCTTTCTTCTCCCCAGTTAAAGAAACCAAAAACTTTTCAGCTCTTTTTTCTGGCAATGGGGCTCTCGCTTTTATTCCCCATCAGTGAATCCTGCCATCCTTCAGATCCTGCTGCCTTCTGGGAAGTGCTGGTGCTTCCCGTGGGCTGTCTAGGGAGAAATCCATGGCGAGAGATGTACTGGTGCATACTCAGCCTTTGCTCATACGTAACCCCTCTCCTGGGACTGCTGAGCTTAAAAGCGGTGCTTCCTCCTGCTCGCACCTCTGGTCCCACGGAGGTGGGGGCCTGGGGTTTTATGTTCCTGGCTGCTCTGTCCCGGGGACTTCTGACATTCTTTCTTTTTACTGCTTTTCCGTAGTCTGAAAGAAGCCACTATGGCTGGTCATGATCTCTCTGTAAGGAAAAGCAGTGATACTGATTATGGGTTTCCCATTGTTTTCAGCTTTTTATGTATTTATTTCTTTCTGCCTAGGGAGTGGTGATGGCTTCATTTTTCAGTGCAAAATTAAGTGAGATTTCTAGGCACTTGACTACAAATTTTGCAGTCCTTGGTGACCTACAGGTAACTGAAGGTGCTCGGTGTCAGACCACGCAGATACGTGTTTTGCCAGGAAGTAAACAGACTTTTATATTTGTTCATGTACATCTATCTGTCAAATCCGTTTCTGCTGTGCATACCATATACGCAGCAAAACCCATGGTGCTGCACATCCTTTTGAAAAGAAACATATATAAATGTCACTGCTGCAAACTTTTTTGAAAAGTGCTTAACTAACACTTTACTGAAAAATTTTTGCACCATGTTACGTTTGTTTGGGCGCGATAACTGACAGGCAGCAAGTGTACACTTAAAACTGTTAAAGTAAGTGAGGGCTGAGGCAGCGAAAATTTTATGGTAAATATCCTCAGAAGTTACCAAAAAATGCATCATAAACATTAGTTCAGCTTCTCACTAATTCAGACAAACTGAGCTTAAATAGTGATAGTTCCCTCTACCATCTGAAGTATTATTCCAAATAATAGTACCACCCTTGTTTTAAAGGAAGAGAAAACACTGAGGCTCATTCTTGAACAGAGCTGACATTCATTTTGAAAATTGACATTTAAAAAAAAAATTCAAGGCATTGCTATTTAATGTCAGACTAAAGGTTACTTAAATGTTACTTATTTTAACATACTTACAAATTCAGTCAAACCAGTGGATTTTTACCTACTATGGCTATTAAGGGTTAACACTGAGTAGGCCGTATCTTTTGTTTTTTCTGGACTCCTGCAGTAAAGTCGCTGTGTAACTTAAGACACCGTTAAGTCTTTTTGGATAGGAAAACTTCCTGCGCTCTGAAAATGGGATCTTCTGTAGCCCTAATCAAAGCCAACTGTATTAACGTTGGCTTCTTGCTGTTTGAACTAACGTCTGTGATGCCATCTACGCATTTCTCTGGTGCCGCTCCGCAATACATAGAAACTTAGGGAGTGTTATTTCACCTTGTCAGTGCCAGGCTGTCAGGACCGTGAGGATTTTGCAGGATGCTGTCTGGAGGGGATGCAAGGCTTTCATATCTTCCCGTCTTTTCTCTGCCTAGTTGCAAGCTTTCCTTGAGGTGTAGTTGCACTGGTGGGTTTTGGGACTCTTAAGATGACTCTGGAATACAAAGTTGAATGCAAAATATCCCTGTGTCATCAAGAACTCTTTGATTCTGTGCTGCGAGGAGCGTATGTTTGCCTCAACCTCGAGTCAGTCTCTGCAACTTGTGGAGACGTGACCAACCAGGTACTTGTTTGTGTTGACGGTATCGAGCCAGAAGCTTGAGGGGAAGCTACGTAGCAGCTCCTCTCCCCAGAGAAGCTGCAGCAGCTGATACTTGTTAGCCAGCCCGGTGTGAAGACCCCCAGGAGGTAAGGCAGCCATCCCTTTTCCCATCCTGCTCTAATAAGGCAAGGGGATCACCTGCTCCTCATGGCCACAGACATGCCCCAGAAAAAAATAAGCTGGACATGGCAGACTTGAAGCTGCGTGTTCGCTAGGGTGCTTGTGGACAATTATTCAGACTTTACAAACTCCTAAAATAAAAGAAATGTTGCACAGCCCTATAGGTTTATAGGAAAATGAGGAGAGGCTTTTCTCTTTGTGCAAGTAAGGCATTCCTTAAAATGGGAGCAGCAGAAAAAAAGAAGTGGCGTTAGAAACTTATTTTCCAGAAGGAGTAATGGGATAGAATAGGCAAGTGTTAGGTGCCATCGAGCAGCTGAATACAATGTGTAAATGATGTAAGATCGATTCCAAACCAAACCTCACAAATTTTAGGAAAGTTTGACTCTGAACTGGGTAGCTCTAGCTTGTAACTGGACCTAACGCAGGTTGAAATTAATGATGGCAGTTTATTGGCACTTCTGTATTTCTGTGAATTAAATGAACATTTTTGTGTTCACAGGACAGAAAAGGAGTTAAACTGAATATTTGCAGGGTAGTAACTTAGAATTTGAAACGCTTTGGCAGTGAAAATTAACTTGATCCAATTTTCCTTTTAGCAAAGTATAGTTTGGATTTGAGAAATAAAGGACCGTAGGGTAAGGCAGCAATAATTTAGTTCTCTGATTGACAAACTTGCTCCGTGAGTCATTGAACCAGATCTCACCAGTGACTAATATGCATTGACTAAAATAGATCTCATTGTCTCATGACAAGTCGTGCTGGTGACTGGGATGGTACATTTCTTCATTGCATTAACCAAAAGTTTGAGGGAATTCTTTGTGATAAATCTAGAATTGTAGGTAAGCATGCAGCAATAACCAAGACGACCTCACCCTGCTCCAATTATATTAGACGCTTTGTTTTATTGCCAGATGAAATTAAGTAGTGTAACAAAGTAACAGTTTACATCTGAGATGAGTAACTTTTTATTTACAAATTTGCTTGTCAAGCTTTAAGTCAGAACACAAGGAGATTCTTCAACAGCAATTCTCCAATTCCCATCTTGTTTATGCTAAGCTTTTCTCTGGATTGAATTTTTGCTTACAAATGAAAAAATTATTAGCCTCTAATTGACTATATTTAAATATGTCTGTCATGGAGGAATATAATTAAAATTGTTTCTGCTTGCATTTTTAACTTTTCCTGAAAAATTCTTCATTAGGGGCACTTTGTTTTTGTCACAGTATCAGTAATACCATCGCTTTCGTTATCTTGCACCCTCTTGTTTTCAGTAAGCCATCCACAGTATCCCAGTGTCTCATAGAATTCACTTCTCTATATATTGATCCAGGAGGGATAACAAGGAGAAAGAAAGGATGTAGTATGTGACCTGCTAAGTGGAGTCTCTGTACCAAAATGGTGTTACCCAAGGAGATTTATGTTTCCTTTCACCTTGCACAACAGGAACATGGAGTGGGATCTGAGAATATCTAAAAGGTTAAAACATGTCCGTAGACATTCCAGTCGGCATATTACCTAGGATCTTGGTATTGTCAT